GTTGTAGCATTCTTAAGGGAGTTTCCAAGAGCAACTCTGACATTTGCGATATCGTCTTTCGTAAACGCCACGACCCTTATTCTAACCTCTAGGCTTTATCTTGTTGCCAAACAGCACCGAGACATCCCAGCTACAAAGTCGTCGACACCGTGAGTTGAGTCAGTCAAAATTTGATCACTTTCCTATACAGAGAACTAAAAAACACATACTTTCAAGACGGTGAGTTTCTTGGTCTTTATTTGTTTTTCCATTGGCACAAGTTTTCGCAGATAGTTGTCAGTACATGTTATCTGGTTTATCGCTTATGAAGCAGAGATCTTCTTAGCATCTGATGTTTTTTATGTGCGTAACTTGAAAAGAAAAACTCTATCTCCTCAAATAAAGCGCTTTTTTCGTAGATAATGTTCTTAAGGTTTCTGGTGAGTTTGATTTAGTTTAGACACACTTTAGTTCTCGGGCCTGGGACTTGACTGCGCAAGTACAAACCTCTGTCAGTAGTGACCGTGCAGTATTCTCCGCGCTGTCTCTCCATCGATCTATTATTTCAATACACTTAAATCGTAGTCAACTGTAACAATCGAGAACAGCTACCTGTAAAGGTTACTCCTAGAACTAGAGAGTAGTATAAGCCATTATCTATTTATCTGTTAACCACGGCTCTCGATCCATCGTAACTACTTTGAAACTGAATATGTTCATCATTAAACGCAATATATACTTGTCACTCTATTGAGAGCCAAACACTAGCGATACCAGCCAATAGTTTTTGTCACTTGACCATTATAACCTGCTGAGGGTCGCGTTCTAGCTTGGAATTTTTGGGGGTACACAATTTATGTCGAATTTTGAAACGAAGCGTTTGAAAGCCAATCTGATCTTAATTAAAATACCAATGACCTTCAAACCGATTTCAGTTCCGCCTGATCACTTATCTCAGTGGAACACTTCTTTAGTTCTTTTTCTTGAATTGAGTCAATCGCATTCTACTTGATGGCGATTTGTCTGAAACAGTGACTATTTTCATCCATCGACTATCGCAACTCCAGAAAAATTAAAAAAAAAGCTATACCTGTATTTCTGTATTGTCGACTTATGTGCATGGTGACCCGGAGCTTCATCAGACACACAGGAAAGTAAGGATTAACTTAATACAGAGATAACGTTCTTATCTTATTTTTTATGGCACGCAAACACTCCAAAGTGTTTTTAAAATATACACCGAAGCTATAATGAAAAACTGTTTTCTGAAGGAAAGATAATGCAAAGAGTGAGATAAAGAAAAGTCTACAAAGTAAAAGTAATTTTCGATTGCGTGCAAGCTTTTAGATCTTCGACATATTCTCTGTTTTGTTTTTTTTGTTTTGTTTTTTTGTCTATACATGCTCCGACAACACGTGCGCTTGAAATAAGTTCAAGATAACGAAACATAACCTAAAGTGCATTTATAGAACTTTTCTCAAAGTTTATTTTTATGGTAGTCCCACTGGAATGCCTTTTACAGTAAATAAGTTCAAGATACGAATGCTTTATAGCACACTCTGACGTCTGAGAAGGTCTATTTTGTGGTTCATTAGTTGAAGAACAGAGACGGGCTTTTTAGTACAACTCATAAATATCTTCAAGAATGTGTTATAACTCTTTTATCAGTCGCGCGCATTAGTCTTTTAAGACCTTAGTAGTGTTTAACCTCAAGCATGTTTTAAGCGTAACTCCAGTCTCCGTAGCAAGTTACACGCTTATCACGTGACAGCGTAATGTGTGTTTGCACAAGCCCAACGTCTGGCTGGGATGTTAACACTTTCCAAGATGTTCTTGTTATTTTGTGAAGCGATAGCCTGCAGTACAGGCGGATTAGCGGGCTCTAGCGCGATACACGAGCGCGCGCGAAGCGCGAGAAAGAGCGCGAAGCGCGAGGCGAGAAAAATGATGATTTTTCTCGCCTCGCGCTTCGGGCTCGTTCTCGCGTTTCGCGCGCACTCGTGTATCGCGCTAGAGCCCGCTAATCCGCCTGTACTGCAGGCTAGTGAAGCGATTACAGCGTATCCAATTTGTTGCAGCCTTCAAGTTTCGTCACTAGGGAGGGGGGAGATATATAACCAACTTTGTTCTCAAACTTGAGCGACTACCGATCAGGGGGGAGAAACTAGTATCTAGTGAAAATAGTTTTTGAAGCTATACGTTGCTTAAAAACACCCGCATCTTTCGCTGTAGCTCGACAACCAAACTCGAGTCAACATCTATTAAATCTGCTGAGGAACTTTTCAAGATGCCGCCTCGAGCTTATTCAATACCTTCTCCCAGTAAAAGAAATTTTACCGACTTTAATCGACTTCTCGTTGAGAGCATTTTAATTTTATTTATACATATACATTTTTCACTCATATTTTAGCATGATTGAATATAACTTATTTTATCATCTGTTGTTGATTTTGTCAGTAGTTAGAAATTTTCCGCTACTTGTTCCGCTCCGGTCTCGTTCCTTCCCAAGAGGTAACTTTTCCATGGGTAAGCGCGGGCTCACTTCCCGAAACAGCGGCTGATAATGGACCCTAAGTTAGCTGTTGAAGAAACCCTTCCCGTGGAAACTCTGCCAACAAACCGTTATTATCATTATATTTTTATTATGTCGTAACCGTGTTCATTCGTTGAATAAGGTATAAACAGAAAGTGAGCCAGGCTGATTTCTGCACAGTTTCCTAAGGACACGCATTTAGCTTTCCATTACCCGAGGTTATTATTTCCAGAATTTTAGGACTTTTAGCCAATGCATAATCAAATTCTTTTTAATTGCGGTTAACAGACTTATTACTATTGGGTTAGGTGATACCTGCATGCATCTAACCCCTAACCTCTTTACTAAAAGAAGCTCAACCCTCTAACAGCAGTACCACACGCTCTGGAGTTAGTCAAAGCGAAATTTTGTCACAGTTTTTAGCACAGTCAAATAAGAAGTATTTGAGATATGCCATGTCGTGCATAGTGAGATCAACAGACCCTTATCACACTTCACACAAGTGTTATTTAAGTATAATTTGGCTACTCGTCAAGATAATCCTCAAAGTGAACACTTTGAGCTATGTGTAATCACT